AAGTCAAGAAAACAACAGCTTCCCAGTGATACAGGCAACTTCATTTATTAACTAAGCTGAGAGTATAGCAAAGCCAAATTTTTAACAGGGAAATATTATATTACAACACATAAGTAGACTGTTAGACTCACTGCCACAGGAAGTCACTGAAGCCAAGATTTTACTCCCATTCAAAAAGAAAGCAGCTATTTGAACACACAAAAACAATAATAATAAGGGGAAAAAAAATAAACACAGAGCTGAGGGAGTCTCCAGCTTCATAACCCAGGATGCAAGAAAGCATCCAAAGAGATCACTGGGCTGTGCTGGGCCATGCAAACAGTGCCCTGAACCCGACTGCAGACGGCCAGAAGCCAACACCAAGGAGAGCCACACACAGAACAAACTGTCCCTTGCACACACCAACACCAAGGGTGCTCAGTGCCAAGGCAGCATCTGCCAACCACCTAAACTCCAAAAGCATCTGGCGCTGGCCAGCATCCAAAATGTGAGGCTCGCATGATTTCACGTCTGATGGGATATTGCTTTCATTTCTTCTCCCACTCTGCAGTTGTGTTTTAGTTTTTAAGAACAGAACCACAAATTATTTGCAAATAGGAGTCCAGTGCTTGGACTCATTCCAGAAAGCCATCTAGGCTCTTTGGAGAACATCTACCAAGATCACCTCAAATGAGCAAAGAATTAAATACTGAACATTACATGCATTCCCAGCGGAAACAAACTTGGAAAAAAATCCCATTCACATGCATAAATTTAAAAAAAAAGTAAGAGAATAGTTCTAGGAACTCCCTGATATACTCTCCTTCCACGAAAAAAAACCAAACAAAAAAGCCCACCACAAGCACAAGCTGTATTTCTAAATTTCCTGACAACACAATGGATCTCTCTATATGTGTTTGCTCTAACTTTGAAGCTGCTCTGAGATGGGGCTGGAGCAGACTGATGACCTCCAATGACCCTTCCCTAAATTATTCTATGATTACAAGCAGAGCATACCCAAGCATTACACAGCAATACATTATCACTCCAATCAGTATTAACCCTTTCTTCCACTGTGGCAATTTATTAAGCTCTTTGGGTTCTTCTTAAAAATTCTAATATAATTTCTTCAAAGACTTAACCATTTCCTCCTCTGCATCCATCAAGAAGGACCTTTATAAATAACAGAACAGTAAACTCAAGGGAGAAAACATGATACTAAAAGCTTTCAAAGTCTGTTACTTTTCACACCACCACATATCTTTTGGTAAGTGGTGATCAATTGTCCTCAAACAGGAAGATGCAGCACTACCTCTGACAGGTACCCCCTAAGAGTTTTGTTTTGTTTCCTTCATAAGACAAAAAAAACATCAGAGAAAAAACAGGCCTACCTCGCTCTGTGGGCAGAAGCAATTAACTCTACCTGCTCTTACCATTGTCCCCACCCAAAATATTTTTCCTGCCCCCCACCCATCATAACAACCAGCCCAAGTGCTTGGCTGGGCCAGTCAAAGTAGGCTAGTGCTGATGGCTCAGAGCTTAGCACACACACTGCCCAACAATTGCTCACTTCTTGGAGAAGGGAGGGACTCAATTATGATTGCCTTTTTTGGGTAGGAATATTAATTTGGGACACTACCTATCTAAAGTTTTATAAAAATTTGTCACAGTGTAGGTAGTGAATGTCTTTCAGTTGCCATTAACTTTGGTTTCATCATCTGAGTAAGAAGTGACTCAAATGGGAGAAGAGAGACAAAGGAAGCAAATGTACAAGCTTTGTGCCCTTAATAAGTCTTGCTAAAAATCCACATAAACTGTCTGATGATGAATCCATAAACAACACTGTTTATTATGAAAAGAACTTCCTCACAGACAAAGGAAAATTCAAAACCCAATCTCTGACTGGTATCATTCTCACTCACAAGGGTCCTGAGAAAAAACAAAAAATTTCAACAGGATTTCTACTAGAAATAAGTAAAGACAGACATATAGAAAAAGCCAAGGAAGACAATGCATGTAACTTTGGAGAATTAGGAAAGAAATAAAGTCCAGTGCTTTCCAGTGACCCCTGCCAGCTGTGACAGGAACAGCATTGTTTAATTCCAGCAGCATTCCACCCCTCACTGCCTGGTCAGCTGCCTCAAACCAGGCTGACTGGAATTCTTTAACACACCTCTGTCCCCCTCTAAAACACACCAATACTGTTCCCCTTTCAAAACCTACAGGACTTTGATTGCTCCCAGAATTCACACCAATGCCCAGCAGCTATGGATACAGGCAGGATCAACTTTTTGAGACAAGCTGAGCCAACTCTGCTTTGGGATAAACCCAGAATACTCTAAATTCTCTATGGAGTTCCCAACAACTACTGACAACTTATTTGTATGTCACGTTCCACACAACGCAACGGGGAAAATTATTGTGCAAACATTGAATTAAAACAACTAGGTTTCCGAATTCTTTTTCTGGTGACTCAGGCTCATGTTTTATCCTTGGTAATATTTATATCCAGAATAAAAACATACATTGGCAGTAAAACATAGCAACAGAATGTGTAACTGCACAAATATTCCGCTTCAAACATGGATTGGGATCTTAAATACACAAGTTCCAAGCACTGCTCTCAACCTTCACCTTCAGAAATGAAAGTTGCTTGTAAGTACTGTACAATGGAGTCCATCAAGGTGATATGCACACATACATTCATAAACACCTTACTGGAACAGAAATAAGACTTCTGAGAAAAGGATTATCCTTTCCAGGGAGTCACAAGCAAAGAGGCAAACCAAAGAAGATCACCAAAACTTCAGAGCTACAAAAATAGCCAAATGCATACAGCTATTTATAACCCAGAGATTTATGCACAAACCACTTTTAGCCTCTTAACCTCAGGGAAACAAAGTCTGATGCCAAGCACTAATGTATGTAACAGAAATACAGAAATACATCCTGCTGCTACTTACTGACCACTCCTAGTGCAGCTGAAGATATTAGGATTCACTTACTAGGATTAACAGGTTATTTCAAGTGCTGCACTTCTCCCTGATAAAACAGATACCACCATCTGTTTAACATCATCAACAGGAAGATATAAGCAGACAAATTACTGATGACACACCATCCCCAGTCTCATTCCTAATAGAGAAATCGTGTCTCCAAACTGTAAGGCAAGCTGTATTTTCTGTAGGAACATTTCATCACAAAGAATTTCAGAACATTAATTAAAGTACTTTCAACAAGTCAGGTTTTCCAATTAATTACTTTTTCCATTTAATTATATGACAGATGGATAAGGCACTGGCAAATTTGGAACAAAATGCAAGACTCGGCAGCATTGCTTCTCAAGTGACCACTAACATGTAAAAGCAGTAAAAGGCAAAATACCAGGCACAGAGCTCAACACCATGGACTCAAAGTTTCACTGAGATAGATCTGGGTAACACACCCTCAAAGGGTGTGAGAAACAGAAGTAAAAGTAACAAACACCTGCACAGTTCTACTGCTGTGGGATACATTTTCCTCCTTTGTTTCTCACAGAAAAGACAGCAAATAAAACACCAAGAAAATGAATGTGACAGCATAAACTTTGAGTGATGAGAAGTTCTCTAATATTTTGATTCCCAAACGGAAAACCAAGGATAAGCTGTAGTCAGGTTGGCACTGTTTTAGGGTGGAAAAGAGGAAAAAAAAAATAAAGAGGTAAAGCAAAAGAAAACATAAAGGCATGTAAAACACAAGAGACACGAGAGAGGTCAGAGACGAACATGAAGATGCTGAAATTCAGGAGCTCTGAAGGGAAGCAGAAGAGACGCTCCATCGTTCTATCACCTGACACGGGCACTGAGGCAGCTCTCGGTACGCTCAGCGGGAGCAGGAGCCTGACAGCAGCGCCGGAGCGGGCAGGCAGAGCCCCGAGCACGGCGAGGGCCCCGGACCGTACCGGCACATCTCCGCCCGCACCGGGGGACGCGGCACCCGGACACCGAGCGCTCCGGGACGGCGCGGCCGCTGCCCGGCCGGCCCCGATGCGGGTGCGCGGCGCTGCGGGCAGGGGCCGCCCGGAGCCGCGCTCGGACCCCCGCCCCAGCGGCGCCGGCTCCGCCGGAGGGAACCGCGGCGCCGGGGAGGCCGCGGCCGCCCGCCCGTGCCCCGGCAGGGGCTGCCCCGGGGGAGCTGGGGGGCGGCAGCCGCGCCGCTCCCGTCGCCCGGCCAGGGCAGAGCAGCCGCGGCAGCCCCGCCGGTGATGCCCGCCGCGCTGTCCCCGAGCACCGAGAGGGCACCGCCACCTCGCCCCGGCCGGGCCCCCGCGCCCCGCTCGGCCCCTTCCCCAGCCGCGCGGGGAACTCGGCGCCCCGGCTCTCCCCCCACCGCTGCTGCCCCGGCGTGGCGGAGCCGCCCCCGTGTGCCGACCCTCCCCGGGTGCCGGAGCCCCCCCGCCGCCATCTCACCGTTCGCCGGTGCCGCGGGGCAGCGCGCGCCGCACGCAACGGCGGCGGGAGCGCGAGGCGGCGGCGGGAAGGCGCGCGCGAGGCAACAGCTGGCGGGGGAAGCGCGAGGAGGGGGGAGCGGCGCGCGCGTCCAGGCGCCAGCGGCGGCAGCAACAGCGCGCCACCCGCGCGCGCCGCCGGGCCGGGGGCGGGGCCAGCGCGGGCCGGCAGCCAAGGGCGGCCCCTCCGCCTCCGGGGGCGGGAACAATGTGTGACTGGCGGCAGCGCAGCCCAATGAGAGAGAGGGAAGGCGGGGCTGAGCTTGACGGACAGGCGGCGGGGCGGAGGCGAGGCCGCGGTGACAGACAGCCCTTTGCACCAATCGGCGGCGGGGGCGGGGCTCCAGGCTGACCCGCCGCCGCTGGGATGGGCGGTTCGGGCTCGAGGGGCGTCACCGACGGCCGGGATAGGAGGGCGGGATTAACTTGAGCGACGTCGCTGTGGCCCAATGAGAATGGGGGACGGCAGGACGCGCGCCCTCGCTGGCCAATAGCAGACGCGGGGCGGGTGAGGGAGGCGGGCGCTTCCCTGAGGCGGAGCGGGCGGGGTGGGCCCCGCGCCCCCTCAGGTGAGCGCGGGCCCCGCGGACCGGGGGATGCGCCGGGATCTGCGGTAGGTGACGGGCAGAGAGGGGGGATCCCGCCTCCGGCGGCGCCGGCACGGCCGGGGAAGCGGGGCCTGGCGGGACAAGGCCGTAAGGCCGAGGGAGGGGAGGGGCCGAGTTTGAGAATACGAAGCTGTGTTTAATTGGGGTTTTAAGCCGGGCCTACCGCAGTGTTTCTTTCCAAGTGTTAAATTACCCATAGGATCGGAATAGGCTCTAAAGCGGTATTTAATCGAACTGGGGTTCTGTTTAACATGGTTTCACCGTAATACGAGTTTCAGGACTTTTTTAGGTTCAAGGTTTCAATCTAAATGTGTAGGTTCGTGTTATTACTACTGAGCTGAGTGTCATGTGTAAGTTGCCCTCCTCTTTATTTTTTTCTCCTAAACAGGACAGTGTTAGCTCTCACAATATCCTCGTTATGCAGATCATCAAGGTCAGTGATGCTCCTTGGATAGTTTCTGCTCACTGAAAATATTCACTCTCTAATTATCTCGGTCCTTTAATAGGAGTCAGGAGCTTTTTTATTTCCACTCTGACATCCCATCAGTGTTCTCACTGAAGAGCCAGTCCAGACCTGTGGCACAGCTGCCTCCTGTTCCCAGTGTCACCCAGCTTGCTGGGATAGCTGGGCTCTAGCAAAGAATCTGCCCATCATCTTTGTTTCATCATGAGATCATCAAATGCTCCATGTAATCAAACCCTTCATTGTTATGTCAGCTCTATATCCAGCTCTCAGCCTTCAAAATCTGGTAGCTTTCTTTACTTGGACTCTTAGAACTCAAAAGTACACTTGGATTTTCTTGAGTTTTCATCTCAAAATGCCTCTAAAACTGACTGGATTCTTGCAGTCCTGCCCAGTCTGGCAGTAACATCTGCTATATCAGAGAAAGGCAGTGTAACTGCTTCCCATGCTGAATTTTCTGCCTGTTTTTTCCAGTTGTTGCAAAGTGGTTCTTAGCAGAGTGAAAGTATTTTCAAGTGAACAAACTGAGTAGCCCCATGTAACACATCTTCAGGAGCTTTGTGTTTCCTCCAGAGACAGGTGATAGCACCTTCTTTGAGTATCTGATAACCTGATACTTCTGAGAGTGTTGAGTTTCTCTTTTCCTTTCAGACCCAAGTTTCCAGTCTGTTTCTGTTTGGTTTCTGCTTTCTCCAGTTTGCTAATAAGAGAGTGTCCTGCTTGTAGTGTTTGTAGCATTGATTTCCAGAGCTGGTTTTGAGAAACATTCTCATGAAAAGAATGTTGAAACTTCATCTCAGACCATGACTCCTCACTTTAGCCACAGACTTGCACTTGAGAATATTGCAAGTGTTTTCAAAATACTGTAAAAGCTTTAGGCCAGACACAGCAATTGTTCTGCCATCCCCTGCCAGCTGCTTTAGGTTTGTTTCTGTAACAAGAGCAAAACAATGCTATCTAAACCTCCTCCAGTTTTTTGTCCCCTTAACTCTTGGGTGCTGCTTCTGAGTTTCCCCTCTTCCCCAAGGAAGAGAAGGGTGAGGGGTTTGGTTCCACCCTGTCAGGAACTGCCTTTGACCAGAGCCTTTGGTGATCTGAGCAGAGCTGAGACTGTGAAAAGCAAAACTACAAAATCCTGCTTTAGACTTTCTCTTTTTTCCTAGTTCATCTCAGGGAACTGGCCTGATTTGGACACAAGTGTCAGCCCCAAAACAAAGAGGGGATGCACTGACTGCAGCTCCAGTTTAGATTATTTAAGGCAAAACTGGATCTTCTTACAAGAAATCTTACTAAATCAAATCCATCCAAACTTCAAACCCAGACAAAAGAGTAGATCTCTTTGTTGATCTGTGTATCAGGAGGTGCAGATTTAAACTGTAGGAGGATTTCAGTGATGTACAGAATTGTTACCCCCTCACTGTACAATAGTAGGTCATCTCAAGTTGAGACAGCAACTTTCATTTCCCTCCTTCAAGGAGCAAATCTTATCTGAGCACAGAATTTGTTCAACTTCCTAATCCTGCAAAAAACGATTCCAGTTTAAAAACAAAAGGGTGGCAGCAGATTTGTAGATTTCTGCTTGCTGGGTGAGTTCAGCACCACAGTCAGGAGATGGTGGGTGCCCTGGTAATGCCTCCCAGGGAGCAGCAGCAGCTCCTGCCCTTCCCTCAGCATTCAGTGCTTCAGAGCACAACATCACACTCCCAGCAATTCAAATCTTTTTCCAGTCTGGAACAAATCTAAGCTCATTTTCTTATTTCAGGTGAAAAATTATTTGTGTTCTAAAGGGAATTAGTAAAAATTTTAACTCAAATTTTTGAAATAATTAAAATACATATTTCAGCACCATTTCACAGGTAAAAATGATTCATTTTTGTAGCATGAAATCTAGAGGAAGATCACAGTCCTTCACACTTCTGCTTTTCACACCTGTAGTGAAAGGCTTTTGGCACGTGCAGTGGTAAAAACTAACCAGCTAGGAACATAAAAACTTCACTTTGATGGCTGCAGCAGCAGATGCATTTATCTTGTTTTTCTTTTGTCATGACTACAGAGAAATTTAAATACCCTACCCAGCCAACAAACCTGTCAGCCAGTGTCTGCAACACTTGAGATACCTGCCAGGAAGCAAAGCTTATCTGCAGCCTTTGGTCACTTCAGGATTGCTGGCTGGCAGAAAGCTGGGCAGGGCTCAGTGGCTCAGTCTGGCCCAGGTCAGTTCAGCTGCAGCTCTGCAAACTGCAGGAACCCTTGAGGGGCTCCTGTGCTGGTTCAGGTTTTGCTGTGGTTGTTTTGTTACAGAGACACAACTGTTCTGTTTTGTTGTCAGGTGTTAGCTCTGAGTGCCTCAGCACTGATGAAAAATGGATCTAAACATATTCTTAGCATTCAGAAATCCCTAAATGAGCCTGACAGCTTGTTTGGGATTAAAGTACAGTTTGTTTCACAGAACAAATTGAGATGAAGGCACTTACACAGCTGACTTAAGGCACTGCAAGGGAATGGTGGACTGGAGCAAACCCCGCTCGGCTGAGCATGCTGATTATGAAGGTGTGGGTGAGGCTAGGAGTGGGAAAGCCAGAGCAAGGAATTGCTGTCTTTTATGGAATTTGCCTGATGGTGTCAGTGCCATCCTTTGACGCCCTCCCTCCCCTCGTGTTTCCTTAGGTTGTTGCTGACAGCCAAGGCCTTCCTCTCCAAGCTGTTTAAATGAGAATGTCCCTGGCGCAAAGAGTGCTGCTGACATGGCTTTTTACCTTACTCTTCCTGATCATGCTGGTGCTGAAGTTGGATGAGAAAGCCCCGTGGAACTGGTTCCTCATTTTCATTCCAGTGTGGATCTTTGACACGATCCTTCTCGTGATGTTGATTGTAAAAATGGCCGGGCGCTGCAAGTCCGGCTTCGACCCCCGCAACGGCTCCCAGAACATGAAGAAGAAGGTGTGGTACCTCGTGGCCATGCTGCTGAAGCTGGCCTTCTGCCTGGCCCTGTGTGCCAAGCTGCAGCGCTTCACCACCATGAAACTGGCCTACGTGTTCATCCCCCTGTGGGCCCTGCTGCTGGGGGCCATGGTGGAGCTGGGGTACAACATCTTCTATGTACGGAGAGACTAGGCCAGGCCAGCAGCTTCCAGGGCAAGGCTGGCACCAAATTACTGGGTTATTACCATTTTGCCACAAATTTGATCTTCAGACTAGAAAGCCAAATGAGTCAAGCTGGAGACTTAAGCTAAAGCAGACTGAAGACTGAAAGTAGACATGTTTCTTTTTTTTTATTTTAAAACTCACATATGCTCTTGTAAATAAAAGTATTTGTTCAACATAAGCTGTTCTAATATGATTACTGATATTTGTTACATGGAATAAGATATGGGTTCTTCTCGTGCAGGTAGAAGACCTTGTCAAAATAACCACAAATGTTCTACCCAGAGTATCCAGCACATTGAGTAATGCTGGGCAAGAGGACTAACATTTTCTGCTACTTCCTGTAAGTGAAGAAATAACCAGTTAACAGTAATTTCCATAAGGAGCTAAATTTGCTTTAAAAATCAGTAACAACTGACAGCAGCCAAATAAGGGCAAGAAAAGGAACACCTCTTTTTTTTTTTTTTTTTTTTTTTGTTGCTTTTGACAGTGAGATTCCATTACCAGTGTAAAAATAAGCCGTTTTCTAAGCTGCTGAAACAGCCCATAACCAGTATGTTAACCCTAGGGAACACAGTTGGTAGCTGAGCTGTGCCAGCAGTTCTGAGATCCAGAGAAGAGGGAGGCAATGGTATTTCTTTTCCAATGCTGCAAGAGACTGAAAATACAGGGTGAGTATAAAATACTGCATTTGAACCTGCCTCAAAGTGTTACTTGAACAAGACAGTCTTTAATAGCCGAGGATATGAAATTTTGGGGGGTGAAGCCTTGGCTTCATGGCAAACTCAGATGTGAGGAAATGACCTTTGTCAGGTAACAAGTGAATAGGACTTGAGGGAAGAACTGGAACTACAAGTGTATTTTGTGGGCTAAAATGCTCTTCCAGGAGATACAGTGCCACCAAATTCAAATGTAGCAGTTATCTGGGACACCATTAACATGCATACTGAAAGTACTGATGCATTCCTAGAGACAAAAGAATCTCAAGTGAATGAAAAACAGTCTAGGGTAACAGGACATACCTAGACAAGTGTTTCACTAGTAAAATTATAAGTATGTACATTCAGCTGTACTTGTCTGTGGAAAAAAGTCTTCCTGAAGTGTTTGGATTTACTCTTGCTGTTTCATCACACAGATGTGGGTAAAAACGCAGAGGAACCATATTGTGGGAGACTGCTGAAAGAGCTTTATCTAAGAAAACATGTTCCATTCTGAGGCAGTGAATCTCAATTCAGAATATCAGGTAACCAATCCTCTATAAAATGAATTTAAGGCATAGTTATTTCAGAATGGTTGACTGTCCTACCTTGCTAAAGGAGAAGCCAGGAAAAGACAAAGGAATTCAAAACAGTAGCTGGTTTTGTTTTTTTAAAAAAGAAAAAATATTTATAAACCCTTTATTTTTATTACAAATCATTGGCTTTTACTAAGCAAACCCATGTACCCAGCCCCAAGATAGACAATGATGCACATCAGGTCATTTATGGGGAGTGCCTAGCAGGAAGTTGTTTGGAGGAGGTGTAGCTATGCATTGTGTACTTCTGAAAAATACTTAATCTTGCTCTGTGTTTGAGAGTTCTTGCCCATTCATGTGAGGTTCCCATGGAGAACTGACTTCCTTCAGTCTTGAGTGATTTTTCAAGTAAAATTGGCACTTGTAATGAGGATGTGCTGTGGGGAGGGGGTACATTAATGTCAGAGCAGGCTCTGAGACCTGCTGGCTACAGCTGCTGTGAGAGTGAGCACACACCTGTGGGTGCCACAGGTACCCATGTGTGGGGTGCAGAGAACAGGGTGCCCATGTGTGGGGTGCAGAGAACAGGGTACCCATGTGTGGGGCATAGAGAACAGGGTACCCATGTGTGGGGTGCAGAGAACAGGTACCCATGTGTGGGGCATAGAGAACAGGGTACCCATGTGTGGGGTGCAGAGAACAGGTACCCATGTGTGGGGCATAGAGAACAGGGTACCCATGTGTGGGGTGCAGAGAACAGGGTGCCCATGTGTGGGGTGCAGAGAACAGGTACCCATGTGTGGGGCATAGAGAACAGGGTACCCATGTGTGGGGTGCAGAGAACAGGTACCCATGTGTGGGGCATAGAGAACAGGGTACCCATGTGTGGGGTGCAGAGAACAGGGTGCCCATGTGTGGGGTGCAGAGAACAGGTACCCATGTGTGGGGCATAGAGAACAGGGTACCCATGTGTGGGGTGCAGAGAACAGGGTACCCATGTGTGGGGTGGGGAGAACAGGGTGCTGTGTGTAGGGTACAGAGAACAGGTGCTCTGTGTGTATCCAGTTCTGTGTGTGGGGTGGGGAGGAGATTTCATCTGCACATCCCCCTTGGTTCTGTTCTGCAAATGGGACCCAAGCCACGGAGCCCCTGCCTGGAATGCAATGCCACTCCATGGCTGGCAGCTTGACCTTGTGCATTTGTTATGGCTGCTTTCAAAATTTCTGAAGAGTATCTAAAGCCCTCCCTCCCATTCAGGTAAACTTTGATGACCCACTTAACAAGCAGTGATACAAGTGTGGAACAAGCATTCAAGCACCTGAGACAAGATTATTTTATCTGCACACACTCACTTACCTGTGGTAGGTATGGGACCAAGCATAAAATAACACCCATAGTCCTTTTCCTCTGGTGATTCTGGAAGAATAAAATTCCCAACCCCCTTTTTCAGAGGATGCCAGGACAGCCCCATTGCTGCTCAGGAGAGCAGAGCAGGTTTCCTCAGCCGAGCTGACAATGGTAATTGATTGTTATGACATAAAACAAAAGATGGAAGAATAAGAACTGGCTTCATTGGAACTTGGTGTATTATTAGCAAGATAGGCCATGAATGGTGACTCTGCCCCCTTAATAAACCCCTTCTCTTCCACACATGTAACAATTATCAGAAAGTTTGGCATCTCTAATTAACTACAATCACACACAGTCCCTACAAATCTCCTTGTAATTGTTGCCTCCAATTCAAGAGAAAAAGATCAGCAATATCAGTTTTGGTTGTGGGTTTGGCTTTTTTTTTTTTTTAATAAGGTTTACCAACCTTGAAATAAATGATTTGGAAAGCTGAAGCAGATGCTTCTTGCTGGTGAAGTACAGAAGTCACACAGCCAGACAGAAGTGCTCAATTTTCCAAGTTCCTTGTCCTTACAGGGAAACTTGGACAAGAGCATTTCCCTTTTGAGAATTCTGTATCACATTTAACTGACCTGAACAGTGATAAGATCTTTGTGCACACATCTCTGCCTTATCAGAGCTTCATGCAGAAGGATCTGTGACACAAAGTACACTATGGCCCACTGTGACCTCTCCAGAAACAGCTGCAGGAATTAATTACATCTGTTCATAATTACACTGTTCTCAGAGGTGCTGATGACAGCTTGGAAGTGGAACCAATTTCCACCAATCTCCTCACACATTTTCCTAAATTTACCAACTGATCTTCAGTAACAAGATAAAACAAGTGAAAAGCAAATTTGCTGAAGGTGGCAGGAAAGGAGAGCTCCATGCTGAGATGACTCACACTGATTTGTGATAAAAAAGGCACAAGGATGTCTCAGCTCCCTGCAGCAGCTGATGGGGGGCAAAGGAGAGAACCTGCCTTTCAGGAGCTTGGTTTTAAACTCCAGTTCAAAAGCTTGTTGAAACCAAATGGAAGTATTTCTGTGCACTAATGATATATATTGGACTTGGAGAGATACATTTCACATAATTTCTTTCCATCATTTATACAGGTTTGAACACTTCAGCATGCATTGCAGGTGAGTATCTGCTTTTGTCTGGTAACAAAAAATCATTAACACATGTGAAAGGTCATGAAACTGAAATTTGCAACTGCCAATTCTTACTGCTTTTCTTAATTTGTCACCATTTTAGAACAGTATCCAGTTTTGTGTTCTTTTTATACTTGAAAAATGGAGTTCTGTGACATGTGCATCCCCACCTGTAACAAAGTTTAACCTGAAGGCTCTGAGAACATGTGCAGACACACACAAAATGCACTGCCTGGCACAGAGGGCAATAACAAAGCCTGAACTAGCTCAGGACAGGGGTACACAACCATTTGAGAGATGCATTATCAGTCTTATTTCCTGATACATCTGTAACACAGTACAGAAGCAAAATGCTTGCCTAACCTCATGAAAATTTTCACATTTCCACGGCATAGAAAGTTGGGTGACACAAAGTGGAATTGAAAGTGAAAATTATAAGACTCCAGAAACTCAGGATTTTAACATCCAGTGTTCCCTATTTTAACATCAATATAATTTTGGGAAAAAAATAAAAAATAACAACCATGGCTTTTCAGTAATAAAGCTCCTGAATTATTGCATCCTCAGAAATAAATTGTTTGAACTAGCATGGAAAACATAGCACTATCATGTAACACATTATGCTTTTTAATTAGGATTTCAGTAAAAACAACTGTGCTGAGTTGTGAAAAGAACACTTGCACCTTTTCACTGTAACTTTACTGGTTTTTAAGGTTTTGATGGAGTTAATCTCCCATAAGAGCCCTGCAGACCTGAATGGGCCTGGGTACCAACTTGCTGCTGAAAAGCATCAGGCTTTGAGAACTTAGGGAATCTCTGCAGCTGGACCTAGAGTACTGTTCAATAGAAATTCTGCATTTTTTCCTTGGATTTTATTGAAGTGGGATAAAGAACAGGAAAATCTGCTATTCAGTGATGCCATTCCATCTGATCTGCCTTTCCTAACAAAACCAACATCCCAAGCAAACAAATATAAGAAAACTCTCCCCACAGTGCAGAACAACAGCCTAAGAGCAAGAAAAAGGAAAGCAATGAGAATGTGAGCTTAGTTCATCCACCTTAATTTTTATCTCAGTGTTCCTTCTGAAGTTCATGAAAAAATCACCGCTTAAAGATGTTTTTTAGTCTAAAAATTCCATTTCTGTGATTAATTAAAAGACTCAGTTGCTTCAGCTCACACTGGCAAGTACCTGGGTGTTACTCTTGCATGCTAAGAATAAACATTTAGCAGCCTTGACTTACGTTACACAGTCTCCCACACACAGGTCTAATTCTCAAGATTTTCATCTCCAGACACCAGGACCAGCTTTCTCTGCTCACTGCCCCACTTTGTCTCACCACAAGCAGCTGAAAAAGCTCCCACAAAAAGCACAGTCCTTAGAGCACAGGCCTGAGCTGCACCCAACATGGCGCCATCATTCCATGGATGGCAAATTCAATGAGCAAACATAGTATCAAAATAGCTATTGAAAAATCAAACTTGATAAAAATAGAAGTTTAAACTGCTGTTTTAATCAATGTTTGTATCAGGTAACTGTACACCAAATATTAAAGGACTATTCAGGACTAACGCCCTCATCAGTAGGCTCATCTATCAGCATGACCAGAACAAGAGAAGATCAATGTTTAGCTGGCACTCAAGTACAGCATCAAAGCAGAGATCATATCAGCATCAAAGCACAGAGAAAAACAGTGGTTAGAATATAATACACTAAATTTGCAATGTCAGTATCCCTGATGATTCTAACAGAAACAGCAACCTAAATATTGTGGAGTTAATCACTGCTTCTGAACAGAACACAAAATAACTTGCATTTTTAAGAAAAATGAAATGAGTGACTGATGGGAATCAGTTCCCCAAATATTCCCACATATGCTGCAAATTCAGTGGGATCTGCACAAAATATCAGTAAGTTCTATACAATTTTAAAGTGCATTTCATCTGTTTAAGAAAGTAATAAAATATCAGCTGAACACAGTGACTCATAATCAAACCAAACATTCTTGACAGTCATTCACAGCAAAGCACAAAGCAGTGAAAATTTGTCTTTTCCATTTCCAGCTTGGATACATCCTGCTAAGGTACAGGCACTGTGCTGCCTAAACACAAGGCTCTCTACACACCTGACCACTACAAGAAAATAAATAAAATGACACTTGAGAAGCTTGAGGAGTTCTTTGATCTCTTGATCAGAATCAGTACAGCTTTCAGCCTAGCAGGGACACGTGGCAGTGTGCTATCTCACAACAGTTCATTCTGCCAATGAACAAGGAGAAATCATGGATTTATTTTGGTCAATTCAGCATCTTATTCACATGCAGATATTAGAAAACAGTCATTTTGATAAATGAATACCAGTCTTGTGTTTCTTGGAAGACTTACTCAATTTTCCAAATCTGTGATGTTTGGATTGCTTTCACAGCATTCTACCATTTCAGATTTCCATTTCCTACATCTTCTGCAATTCCAACTTATTTACTGTGCACATGTATATCCACTTAAAAATCAACTTTATTTATCACCAAGGAATTCTTTCACAGATGAAGAATTAAATCATCACCCTCTAAAATAATACTTTATTTCTAATACTAGATAGAGTTAATATTTCAGTTAAAGTAGTATTGAAATATTCACTATAGTAACAAGGAAGGGAAAATCTGCATGCCAGCAGTACCTGTGATGAAAATTCTTTCAGAGTCAATTTTCAGGCATTTGGAGGGCTGGGAGTGACACAACACTGAGTAACACTTGTATGTAACACATGAAGTCAGTTGCCAGTGAAATGCAAAAGATCAATAACATGAAAAGAAAAAAAAAAAAGGTAGCTACCCCCCTTGAAAGCTTTTTTAGCAACTGTAACAATGCAATTCTTTGCTACCCAAAAAATATGTACCAGGATCTAGGAAAACATCTAATTTTCTGCACATCATGTTATTAACTGGAACACCACTGCACGTGCAGGGAGATGGGAACAGCACCAATGGCCTCGGGCAGCTCTCTCCAACCTGCACAAGAACAAGGGCCAAGAGAGACAACTAAAACACTGGAGATTTCAGCCAAAATAACAAAGGTTTCTGTATCACCAGAATCCAGAGAAGGGGGAAAAGCAATAAGCAAGGACTAATTGCAGTACAGCAAAACACATGAAAGATTTATTGCCGAAGCAAAAGTCTGAAGATGAAGTTGTATGCAGCAGGAATAAAGGCTACAGCACAGGACTGAAGCAAGGCCTTTGTCAAATTAATGAACAATTTGGGAGGTGACATTCTCAGAAAAAGTACTCCCCTCTCAGAGGACAACCTCATTAAAATGAACATACCACAGGGAGAGGACACTTCTTTTAAATCTTTTCTTTAAAAAGCAAGTAAAAACTAAACATTAATGCAGCCAGACAGCCGAGACTGCAGACATCTGTAAATGCAAAAGGAGGTCTGGTAGCCATTGAAAATCCCAATATGGTTCAAATTCTGTCTGCAAGGAATTCTGCCTGAAGTGAGAACCTAGTCTGTCTCAAAAAACCAAAAGAATATTTAAAAACTGCAAAAAAGCTGCCATTTTAAAACATCTCAAAATTCTGAAAGCGGTAAGAACAAAATGGGTTGAAGATGTGGGCACTTCAGAAGCAAAATCTCAGGACTAAGATACCTGAGCAGAAGTTCAAGACCACATCAGCCAAGACCACTGAGCAGGTCTCCAAAAGGAAACAAAGTTTGCTCATAATTTTCAAAGATTTGTTATTTCTGTCTGAACAAGGCCTATGTTGCAGAAAGCTGGCAGCTGTCCTGGGGGATGTGTGTCCACACTTCACCAAAATCTGACAGGTTACCAAAAATGACTTGAATGAACCCAAATGAATGGTCAGTGCCTGACCAGGACACTGGTAAGATTCGTTATTCTGAGTCAACTAAATAGTTTTGGGAGTTTGTTTAGTGTGGGTTTTGTTTCAAAAAGCAGTATCTGGGAAGGCTGGTTTGGCTAAAGCTGGAGCCCTCATCTATCCCAGCTGCAGAGCTGAGTGCTTGGTGCTGCTGCTCTCCCATGGGCAGCACAGAGCACAGGAATGGCCAAGTAACTGTGCTTGGATGTTCATGAAGCCAGAGATTACAGGTGGAAGCATTATTTCCAGAAAATCCAGAAAACAATAAAGGGAGCTGAGACCCCGTTCCTGCTATAAGGAAGGCTCACATTCTTACATGAACAAATTAATTTTTTCAGATCAGAATCTGCTAGAGCAATAAAATACCACATCACACATGGATCATTTGCTCATAGCAAAGGGGAAAGAAAGATCCCTGAGGCTGGAAAACTGGTAGTAATCTCTTAGCCAGCATTAAAGAACACAGTAGTAAGACTTAAGGACGTATTAGCCACATCCAAGAGACTCACATTTCTATTGCTTCTCTAATACATATTTATGGCTGTGTAGGAGTAATGTTTAGCAATTCAAATATTGATTTAATTTATAATTTCTTGACAGACATATTTTGGATTAAACCAATCAGGGCACTTATCTAATAAATAGCTGATTTTAGTGCCACCTGTGAGTATGCAGTAATATTTTAAATTTTAAACAACCTATAAGGAAAAAAGCATTTACAACAGAAGGACCTCAGGTAATTGAACTGGACATTGCCTGAAAATCACATTTTTCTATTGCTACAAATGAAGCCAAAGTGACCACTAATTGCATCAAAGTTTATAATCTGGGTACTTAAGGATGTACAAATTCCAAAAATGTTATACAGAAAATTCCTAACAAAAATCAGAGATACAGAGGGCTTTGGAAATAATAGGCCTTGGATGTGAAGTTTTACATATTTAGCTGAAGGATAGGCTGTAGGGCAGTTCCCTGCTGTGTGCAGCTATCCAAGAGACACATATAATTTGGCTGTGTTTGAACTACACAGGAGTACAATACACAGAATAAATAGGTTAATGATCAGATGCTAGCTAGCCTTGAAATTCTTTTCCCTCAGAACACAACCTAAAAGAATCCAAGTGTTCCATAGATAGGGAAAGAGAACAGTTAACTTGGACACTGCTGTTATTTCCTTAATGAAACACGTCTTGCTTCCAAACTGTGACTCATGAGGAGCCTTCCCACTACACATATTGGCAACACAGCCTCTTTACTGCCTGGCACTGTCAGCACAGGGACAATTCAAATCCAGTATGTCTCTGTGAATTACACGTCACTGCCAAAGTTGAGGAAATTTTAGCTTGGTAAGTAATGACTTAAATATTCTTTTAATTGCAGTCAGATAACAGATTTGAGGGAGTGGTCGCTTTTTTGGCTTGTTTTGTGGGTTTGTTGGTTTTTTGGTTGGTTTTTGTTTTGTTTCTTTTTAATGGGAAGTGGAACTGTCTGAACTGTGCCCTGAGCTGGGCCAAGAGGCAAAGCCCAGGAGAGTTTGCTCCCTTGCACCTGCTCATCTAGAGAGATGCAGGCAGGCACTGGCAGCACTCCTGGAGCCCACTGTGTGTCCAAGTGCCCTCCAAACAGCCAGTCTGACTCCCTGTTCCTCATGAGTATCTGACAGCAGGAGTTTGGGGAGTGCCTGGAATAAGGAACTGTGTCAAGGGAGGACTGATTCTGCCTTCTGACTAATCTGCATTTACAGAGATGCCTCAGCTCTACCTCAGTTTGCTACAGCTCCTCACCCTCAAGGCATAAGGGCATCCTATGCATTAGTGGCAGGTAGAAACATAACCACTAAGAGAGGCAGTTGAACTGAATTATTTTTTGCAGACCCAAAAATAAAACCAATCTGTTATTATGAACCTTTATTAAGCGGCTCACATTTCAGTATAAATCACACTAAAAAGATTCTTAAAAAAGATATTTACACTACAGTGCTGACACATTTAAAATGAAAAAATTGGTATAAATAAGCTCTATGGAAAAGCCTGGAATTGTCAAAAAGAATTCTGGCTCATCTTACAAAAAATATATATGTTAAATGTCAGCTCTACTCTAAAACCTACAACTCAAAATTATTTAAAGACTTCTTTATGTTAAACCTGCAGTGTTTACAGTGCATCTGGCCCTAAGTGCTTTGATACTTCACAGTTATGGACAGGCACTGAGGAATGTTACAAAGCTACATAACTATTTTCTGTAACAGATGCGAAGACAAGTCACAAACTTGCCTCACAATTTATGATCTTTACATTATTACATCATTAAGTTTAAAAAGGAATTTAAAACCATATATACAAATTTAGCACAAAAAATCATCCTCTCTTTGTCCGTGCAATTTTGGATATGACGAGCTAGGCTGTCTTGTATCATCTGGATGTACGTGACCTCCAGAGCACAACTTGCCTTGTAAGTCCTTGTTGCCGGTTTCAAATTTAGAATCCATTTCCAACTTTAGTGATGTCAACTCGGCGTGACCCAGCCTAGCCTGAACATTCTGTCCCCCGACGTCATTGGGCGTCACTGTCTTTTCAGCAACATCAACATTCATGGGCTCTTCTTTTACTCTGAGGGATGCAAGAGGTTCACGTTTTATGGGCACAAACTCCTGCTGCAGGTACTTGGTCTGCAGAGCATCTGCAAATTTGGTGTCTTCGGAGGTCTCTTTGCTCACCGTACAAACTCTGTCAGTCTGAAGTCCAACAACCGAAGACTTGGGGTCTGCAGAGGTCCCTGCTTCAACAGGATTTGTGTTTTGAGAGAGTTCTTCCTCTGAATGATAGAGCTTGAGCCGGATGTGCCAAGCCAAACTACACACAGCTGAGACTGTTTTGAACTGGTGCACGACATTCCTCGGGATGAAATAAATGTCATTATCGAATAACTGGATCCTGGCATAGCGAATGCCTTCCCTTCGCAGCTGATTAAGCTTTGCATCATCAACCCACTGGACACACTGCAGAGAAAAGGTGGGCAAAGGTGAAAACTCTGACAGCACTCAGAGGCCGCTGACCATCAGTTCTCAGTGTGCTTACCTGTGAGAGTGGAGGCTCATGCAAATCTAACTGCATTCGCTGAACTACCTCCAAGAAGTCCTCAGCATGAAAACAAATTACATCTTTGGTTATACGAGGCTGCTCACACCTACACAAGAGTAACAAGTGTACAGTCAGTGGCTGAAACTACCATGCTGCAGAAAATAACAAAAAGTCTGCAAGCAAGGATAAAGCAAATTTTTTAACTTAAAAAAATGCAACAACTCTACCATAATCAACAATAAAAAAAAGTTGATCAGAACAGTTAATTCTAAAACACATCCTCATTGAACTGGTGAAACAAATTAACTAAAATTTCTTTATAAGTGGAAGTAAAGGCAGCAATAAAAGGCCAACAAAACACACTATTTTCCATTTCTATTTTTAGTTGGCCTCTCGGTTGCCTAGATGCTGAAAGACAGCTGTCCCAGAGAGGCTGGGCTTACTCTGTCAGCACCAGCACCCATCAGGTACCTGAGCACAGAGCAGTCTGTGGGAGCCCTGTGGCAACCCCTGCTCAGCACCTCAGCCTCCAACACCTTGCCCAGAGTTGGGAGTAAAAGCTGAAGCTACATTAAGCTGCCACAATGCCAGTAATCAGCCAATGGCATCCTCCACAAAACATCCCCTAAAAATACATCCTAATCATGCTCACCAGAGAGAGCTACACAAGAGCAAAGTCTGAATAAGGCTTTGTCTCCATATTCCAATTGTTAGGAGAAACATCTCTAGTTCCAAAGCATCTCTCCCAAAGAAATACACACCACTAATACAGCTCCTCTGGAGACAACAACTACAATCAACTCACAAAAAGCAAAAGCATCTACAATCCTTAAAAATTCCTGATCTAAAGGACAAACTCTGTTCCTCATTGACAACATGTAAAAAATAAAAGCTCTACATACTCACTTTAGAGGGATGTTTGCATTTTAGAAAGACTTTTAAAATTTAATGTGACTATATGAAGATTTCATTTATAAAGGATAAAGCTCACCTTGGAGCAGTTTTGCAAGGACAGTTTCTCAGCCAGAGAGAACCTGGTGAGAATTTCTGTCCTTCCCCCTCTGTATCCCCTGGGCTGACAGGAATGCAGCAGCTCCTCAGTGGGCACAGGCTGCACAGCCAGGCACTGCCCATGGGAGCAGGGATCAGAAGCCAGTGCTGCCCTCCTGCAGCAGGGCTGGTGCCTGCCACCCTGCAGTGCATCCCTCACCCTGCCTCCACCTCCAAAAATGGGGTACAAGTCAGAAATGGGGGGCCTGGGGAGCAGCTGGTGCAGCAGAGCTGAAACATTTTCTTCTGAAATATTTCAGAATCCAATAGATGTTCAAGAGCCCTTTTTTAAAAGCAAGATGAGCACCTATTTTTATATAAAGATATATATGTGCCCTGTTATTACTGTTCTAGGAAGCAGGCAATGGTGTACAGCTCATTCAGGCTTTTTAAACATAGGAGACATGTTTATTTTATTTAGGTCATGGCCTCAATAAAGCAAAAAAATAACCAGTCTGAGGCTATTTTCAGGAGAAAAAAAAATCCCAGATCAACTACTGAAAGTATGCTAGGGAGATTTTCAGACCACATATTTTACTTATTAAAGATTAAGATGTGTCTCTTTATTTTGATCCACATACTCCTGATTTAAACACTGAAAGCAAAAAGCTTGAGAAATATTTCTAACCAGTGGTATTAAAAATATTAACTACATTCATCTACCTTTCATAATGCAGGCATTTATTTTTAAAATATGAATTTGCATTTGGAGTCCCCAATATCTGTAAATGAAGTTAAGACTTAAAATCATTTTGCACACTTAGAGAACTTCAATCCAAACTGATGTGTTCTCCCAGCAGTGTCTATTCTGGTTTATGCATTGTCATTCCTACTCTCAGTCCATATGGATCTGTCCAAGAGGATGAGGGATCACCAGCTCTGTACTGCAATTTTGTCACAGAACACAACATTCCTTTTGCAAGCAACTGAGAAAAAATACTATCAGATAATTTTAAATTCTGCATTTGCAGATTTTATCTTTAACAGAAATTTGAGATAATATTTTGCAAAATGTTTATTTTAGGTATCATCTATCTACCCCCAAGCACAACTACAGCACAGATGTTCAGTTAATGTCCAAAAGGACATTAAATGAAAACAAACCATAAGATAACTTCAGAAAAATCTATTTAAGCCTCCACTAGAGAACTGCTAGAACTGGTTTTGGCAGTATTTTTTCACCTTAACCTCATTCTTCAAAAGGACTGGATTCCTTTTGCTGTGACAGATTCAAAACTAGAGGTTTCACCATTAATATTCCTGGCCTAATGCATAAAGGTTGGCAATATATAAAAAATTCCTATCATCATACAGAGAAGCTCAACTTCAGTCTCTAGAACACAAACCTGAAAGCTGCTTGCTGAAGCACAGGTTTCATTTTGCCAACAACAATGCCAAAAAGCGCCTTTTGCTGTCCCTGTAAAAACCCACCCAAATTTCCCATATAAAAATTTTATACATTTCCATAATTAAAATTTCACAGGCACTTCAAGTTCTAGAGCTCATTGGGTATCACCAATGAAAATGGCATTAAATAATCAGCATGATCAAACCTGCATTTATCAGATAATAGTTCAATCCTTAAAATGTTTGCTAGCAATAGTCACAGTTCTTCTGTAAATTGCAAATACTCAATAACTGAGTAATTTTACAAAATACCTCAAATCAAGATCCTGTCACAATTGAGAAAGGACAAATATTTTTTTCCTCTTCAAAATACAATGTTTAGTTTCAATGTCTGTCCTCTAGCACCATAATCTGCTTTTTGCCTTTCAATAGTTCTGTTCCTGTCTGTTCTTACAGACAACATTTATCCCACCTAGCATTAACATTCATCCCTATCAACTAGGAAATAAATCCTACTTTCTTTAAATCTACAGCAACTTATAAAGCTTTTTTTTGTCCACGCAATCCATTTTTATGGATTTAGTTCAGGCAGCCCAGGAATTGTTTCATTTTCTCCTCACAGAAAGCATTATTTTTATGTACATTATCTCATCACTGAACCATGTGCATTTTTACTGCCATGGTGCCTTAATCACCCCAGAATCTCTTCAACTTTTCAGATTTGTTCAACTACTCGAACAGATTAGAAAAAGAAACAAAACAAAACTGAACAAAAATCAAAACTAGATTTTTCAAAACTTGTCATTCATGTTGTTTCCTTTAAAATAAATCCACCCACAGACTGCAAATTACAGCAAAACTAATACCTGAAATAATTTCAATGTGCTACATTAATCCATGATGTTTCATTTTCATAAGCCCTGATTAGTTCTCCTCATGTAAGTACAAGTGGCTTTTCAAAATTACATAAAAGTGGAAAGGGAAAGCAGGAATTATAATTTAGGCCAAATCAAGCCTGAAATACATAACTTTTATTGTGTTGCTTGTGTTGTATATTTTATTCCTCTCCATACATCAGTTACAAATTTTTTATTCTGAATTACAAGATATATTCAGTCTTTACACTGAAATGAAATGCTGATACTTCTTTTTTATTCCTCAGACTGAAGGATTTTCAAGTATGCTATAAGGCTATGGGATGAGAATGGGAAGTTCCCAGACAATTAAATTACTGTCAATTCAACTTCTTAATCTCCACAAACATCCAAGTTCAGGGAGTGGGGTTTTGTTTGGTTTCTTTACTTCCTTTGCAAGTCCCTCTCTCAAGTGTGCAAAGTGGAATTTAAAACACTCAGATATACAGAGTTATCTCAGCTCTTGCCCTGCTACTACTGCTCAGTCTCAGTTCACCACAGCACAGTCAGAGCAAGCAGGAAGCTGAAGGCTCCCACTGTCATCAACCTGAAGAGGAAGGAAACTGAAAACCTCAGAGCCCAAGAGACAAACACGTTATCATCTGAACAATCCACTTCTTCCCCAATGACAATTATTCTACTTTCTGTGTCAATGAACTCATTCACTGCAACACAAATTCACATCATTTTATCCACAGGGAATTCACTTTTCTAATTTCTAGACAGACATAAAGAAAAGGTATTTATAGTGTTTACATATGCAAAGGCAACCTCCAAAACTAAGGTTATTCTTCAAAACTAAGGTCCTTCCTCAAGGTCTCAAGATGCTGAAAAATGCCTCTTCAATGTGGACCAGAAATCCCATATGGTTATGGGCTTTTTATTTAGTTCACATGTAAACAAGCTTCAAACAAGGCACATTTCACTTCCTGAATCTCACACAGCAATTCTAAGGACAAACACCAAATATATCGCCCAACTTCCAACAGGATTTTTTCCTAGGTGAGCTTCCATAAGTAAATCAAGGTTGTAACACCCATGACTTGGGAAGCAGAAGCATAAGAGCTCTGTATATCTCCAGACAACACAAAGAACTGCCAGAAGCTCTCTCCATGTGCACCTCTGCTGCAGTAGCAGCTCAGTCTCTATGCACCACTTGAAGCAAAATGAAGTGAGAGGTGTTTTTACCTCAGTAACAGCAACTCGATTATAGCAATTGAACTGTCACTGCCAGGAACCTTTCTGGTTTCAACCACATAGCAAAGCCACGTGCAATTAAAGAGAGCAAACACCTAATGCTCAGCCAGCACCTATGAAGTCTTCACTGAGTCTTTAATCCTACATTAACCTATTCCACACTCCCTTCCAATTACAAATGGCAATTCAGGCAAACATTTTCCAGTCACCTAGGTGAATCTACACCTACCACTCCCCACAGTGCACAGCCTTCAACACCCCCACAGCAGCCGTGGTCTGTCGCTCAAAGCCTTGTCCTATGTGATCCGCGTGGGCTCGCGTCCGGTCCTCAAAGAGCATCTCACGGGGCTCACTGGTTCGAGGTAGGTACTGCAAGTTTTTGATTTCATTGGTAGTTCTGCACAAGAAAAACAGTAATATAAACATTATCTGAATTATCTAATTCCCATCATGGCCAACAGGACTGGTCATCTACAAACAAAAAAAAGAAACACTCTTTCCTTTTCCTTATTTTAAATGGATTTTTTTTTTATAATTTAGTTTGTGTCCATTTTCTCTATTCATGTCACTGGGCACTGTTGAAATAAGTCCTTTTTACAACTTTCTGTGAAGTGCCTAAACACATTGATATGATCCCACTGAGCATTCTTTTCTCAAGAGTAAATCCCAGTTCTCCCAGGCCACCAGACACTCCAGCATGGCCGTGTCTGTCCTAGCCCGGTGAGCCCAGGACTGGGCAGATACTGCAGATGTGTCTCACCAGGGATGAGCAGAGGGGAAGAACCCTGTCCCTCCATCTGCTGTGCTGCTTGTGCTTGAAATGGCAACTTCCCAGGATGAAGGTGACACTGACTGGCCTGCAGTTCCCCAGGTTCTGCTTCTTACCCTTCTAAATGATTGGAGTTGCATTTGCTTTCCTCCAGTCCTCAGAAACCTTTGCCAATTGCCATAACCTTTCACAGACCGTGGCCTTGAAGTGATACTGGCCAGGTCCCACTGCCCTTGTGGGATGTGACCCATCCCAGTAGGTCCCACAGGCTTGTGTCTGTCTAATCTGCATGTCTAGGAAGTTTCTTAATCTGATTTTCCTCCACTGAAGGCAAGTAGCCCCTGCTCCAGACACTCTTACTGTCTCCATGACAGAGCATTTTCTGAAAGCAAATCTCACTAGAAAAGACAAGTGCAAAAAATGCACTCAGCCTTTTCTGTGTCCTTTGTCCCCAGGCCCTTTGCCCCATTCAGCAATACCTTGCATTTTCCTAGTCTTTCTTCTACTGTCCATATGCTGTGGAAGTCCCTGCTGCCCTTCACATCCCTTGCCAAATTCAGCTCCAGGTGGTGTTTGGCTTTAACTGCATCCCTTCATGGTTGGACAATGTCTCTATACTCCTTCTGAGGCACCTGCCCCTGCTCCCACATCTCGCACACTCCCTTTCTGTGTTCCCAATTTGAAAAGAACTCCCACGACAATTCCTTATGACATACAACACTCAAGTTCTGCAGAGGCTGTCCCTACTCTTTAGCTGGTTCTTACACCCAATGCCACAGCAAAGCTTAAAGATTTCATTTAATGTTGGAGTTGTTACCTTTGAGGTGAGAAAAAAGCTCTTGTCCCCAGAGGTCACAACACAATCCACTCACATGTGACAGCAGGGGTATCAATTGCAGTCTCACGGCATGTATCAGTAATTGCATGTGTGTACACATTTTCCTCAAGTTTTCACCTTATATTTCTACTACAGCTCCAAAAACAACCAGCACCTTACTTGGCCAGACAGTAAAAATGAAAACAAAAGTTGCAGATTCTTACATTACAAAACAACAAAATTGGTTTGGAGATGGAGATTTACACTAATTTATATTAACATATAATATCAAACAGTAAAAGGTTTGGGATAAAATGAATTTGTAAAGAAAACACTACTAACCAGACATTTACCAAGTAAAATAATTCAGCTTACCTCTTCCTTTTGAAAGGTGACTTTGGCATGTCAGCCACAGGGATCATCTGCTCTCCTGGCCGTACCCACATGATGGGACCATCATCACTGTCCTTACGACTCTCTAATTTTAAACTAGAAAGGGTTCCCCATGGCAGTGTACACTAATGGAAATACAAGCCACAATTTTCAAGTGAGTTACTTTAAAAAACTTATTAAAAGCAGCCTTTATCTCTCACAATGAAAGCACTTATTAGAACACTCAATTACCTAAACAAGTATCACATACTCTCACGTTATTATTATAGCAGCACTACAGAGCACGGTGTCCCCCTTCTCCCAGCCCATTCCCTTCTGCTCTTACTTTTAAGAAGGGTGATTCTTCCAACATATCAAGGAATTCAGGGAAGTAATCCCCCACTTCCTCATCAACTGCTCCAACCAGGCTGATCTGTCTCATTGGGCCAGCTCTATACGTACCATGAGAGTATGTTCTTTTTACCTACAAGTAGAATATGACAACACAAATTATACCAAGTCCTCTACTGTGCAAAATCCACATTCAGTGAGCACCTGTAAACTCTATGCTTATCCTTTCTGAGATAAAAAGACTTATTTTAGTCCTTCAGTCTCCAGTGTATTTAAGATTATTATGAAGTGAATTACTACAAACTCAAAGACAGATCTTATTAAGCATCCACAACAATTTGTATTTTATTTTAACACCTGAAGGTAAACTTATTGCCTTTCAAGAAGATAACACTCCAAACCAGTAACTCTGAAAAGTTATCAGTGTACATTATGCTCAGTGACTTGTCAATAAGGATTCTTACCTGGATTACTCAAGTCTAGCTGAATTTCTACCTTTTCTCTTGCAACAGGCAGAACTCTGAGTTACAAGTAATTTAACTCTAAACATTTCCTCTGCTGCTCATCCTCTCCAGTACTGCCTCTTTGTGAGTACATTAACTAGAGCAAATTAGTCAACACAAGGCCCATAAAGAGTTTGTACAAAAAGTGAAACAATGATCATCACTCCTTCATTTTTGCTGTGCTAGCACATCTTGTGCTCCCTTCAGACTTTAACAGCTGTAGCATTCACCTCTCATGAGAAATCTACTGTGAAATTTGAACAGAAACACATCTTGTTTTAAGTTCTTTTTCAACAATCTGATCTGTTGTGTTAGATCACCAAAATACTCAGGCATGAGATTGATGAGGATCATGTCCACTTTAAGCTTCTGATTTCCTATTTAACAGGCTGAATGATGGTGGCATTATGAGATGAAATATGAAGAGCTCAGGATGGAGGAAAGAGCAGAGGGATTACTGCACACACCAAGTAAGGCTCCTCTACAACACCTCTAGACATTCTGCATCCAAAGCAAGAAAAGTAAAAAATGGCAAGGAAAACAGTTCATGAAACACTGCTTAGCTATGGTTCTCACCCAAACAGACCATTAACATTCCTGGCACTTATGGCAGTGCAGAGAATTCACAGCAGTTCCTGAAAACAAACCATGGAACAACACTGTGCCCTTCTGAGACACTCAACTAATGTAACCAGATCTTTCCAGAAATGCAGAACCAAACACTGTTCCCATCATCCCAGTCATCTGTTTCCTCCCAGCAAACAGATTCTAAAAGTAGGATTTTACAAAATGTCTCAGCTAATGCTACAGCAAGCCATCACAGACACACTGAAAAGAACAGTCCAGTAATATTCCCCCATTCCTCAAATCCTTAGTCATACATTTCCTGCAGGGATTTTTTTCCTTGGGTTTTTTTGTTGTTTTTTTTTTTTTTTTCAGAGACAGCTGGTGATTTTGTGATAAAATACCACAAAACATTCATTTCTGCTGAATTTGCATCAGCTCAGTCCTCAGCTACATCTGCACTGGCACAGAGCACCAGGAGCTTATACAACTGCAGCAATGAGCAAGGAAGAACCCTAAAACCACTTTCTGAAGCTGCAGACACCCACAAATCTGTGACACTTTATTAAAATGCCTAACATGTAAAAGGATGTTTCTTCCACTGACATAAGTAGCTTAGTATTCCACCACTCCAGTCCAAGACATTGGGATGCTGTTTCCATCTACATCCCTGATAAAAGAGAACCATTTTTCTGCCTTTTCTATGCTTCTTTATGCTACCTACTACCACTCTCCCAGGTAACAAGTGATAAGACAAGAGAAAGTGGCCTGAAGTTGTGTCAAGGGAGGTTTAGATAAGATATCAAAAACATTTCTTCACCAAAAAAATCTCTCAAGCACTGGAATAAACTCCCTAGGGAAATGTTGAGCCACCATCCCTGGAGGCATTTAAAAGATGTGTAGATGTGGAATTTAAGGACATGGTTTAGTGATTGAATTTGGCAAGACTGGGTTAACACCTGGCCTCTTAAAAAGGTCTTACAGGGCATTTTCATCCTAAATAATTTTATGATTCATACAGAATATGATAAACTGGTTGTGAAACTACTCCAAGTGAAAACTCTAAAAATTCTCCTAAAAATACTAAGTTAAAGCTTGGAAAAGCTGTGAAGCTTCCAGCTGGATCAACCCACCCATCTGGCTTATATACCACTAGGTGCTGGTAAAGAAAGCTAAAGCCAGCAAGTATTTAGCTGCAGCATAATGCTTGCATTAAGGAGGATCAATTAGGAAATTTTTCATTTGTTCCCAAAAAAACCCCCATGTCAGTGAAAGTTAAAACTGAAAAATGAGCACAACTTTTTCAAGCACGGTTTGTCCAAGCCCTTTCACCCCCAGCTGCCTGACCAACTACCCTGCCCTTGATCACAAGGCAGTACAATTGCTTCTCAAGATCCAGCTCAGGTGAAGAAATCCAATATGAATGCCTAAATAATGTCAAAGTTACAAATGATGAGTGGTTTATTCTGGCATCATATTCAGAACCACATCATTGCAAATACAGAATGAAATGTCTGAGTGATTATGAACTCTGTAGTGGCTTAACCCCAGGCAGCAGATACTGATCTTACACCCCCTGCTCACTCACCTCCCACAGCTGTGAGACATGGGAGAGAACAGGAAAAGCAAGGAAGTGTATGGGGCCAGTTAAACAGAGTTTATTCAGTGAAGACAAAACTGAAGAAGAAAAACCACCAAGTTGTTTGAGCGTTCTCCACCACTCACCAACTCCCACAAGCAGACTGATGTCCAGCAGTCCCAAGCAACAGGCACCTTCCAGCCAAGCCATCAGCGCCCTCAGGTTTTTTTGCTGTCCCACAGCACAGAATGTCCTCACAGTCACTTGGGATCAGCTGTCCCAACCATGTCCCCTCCAGCTTCTTGCCCACCCCAGCCTACTCACCAGGGGGGTCCTGGAAGCCTTGACACTCTGCCAGTGATGCTCAGCAATAGCCAAAACACCAATGTGTTACCAACAGTTTTAGTCACAAACCCAAAACACAGTCCACAAAGAAAATTAACCCATCCAGACCCAGTATAGGCAGGAAATAAATCCATGTTGGTGATCAAAGGGCAAGATTTGCTCTCTTTTCCCTTCTTTCCTGAGAGCATTAGGTCCTATGAAGATGGACAGGGAGCAAGCCTAGGGAATTAACCTGAATTTAATCCAGGAATTACCTGAAAAATTTCTCTGTTTTATAAAATAATAAAAAATAAATAAAGACATAGGCCATAAATACTAATGCCTGGCCAGGAAGAACAAGAGAGAGTTTGAAAGATGAAGCAGCTTTGGGAAGTGAAAAACAACTCCTATCTCATGTCTTCCATGAGCTGGGTTGTAGCATCCTAAACTCCAGTCTTAGAGAAGAGGGTCATGCTTGACCTGTATTACCTTAGATTAGGCTGAAGGCTTAGAAAAGCATGAATAACAAGGTGCGGTCATCCCTAGTGAGGAGCTAATTTTCACTCGCTCCCAACTTACACTGCTACTAAGTAACAGTGTGAAAACAACAAAACTTTCCATTGATGTTTGGCCAATGACAAACCTAAAATTAATCCATTTTAACTGTAGCAGACTACATTAAAAAAAACCAAAATAAACAGCCAAAGTAAAATTGAAATAAGAAAACCATAAGGAAAATTAGAATCAATAACTAGGCAACCAAGATACTGACTTAAATAAAGACAACAACCAAATAAATATAACCTATGGCATATCAGATAACAGCAACATTTTCCCTTCCTATTACTGTCAGTATCCTTTGGCTGTTTTGTTCACAGGAAGAGAAACAGATTGCTCTGTGTATTTCTAAACTCACAAAACCAATACTGATGTACTAAAATCAGTACTTATCAAATTCCATATTAAATTATGCACTGACTGCTAATAGAGTACTACACATATTAAGTATTTTATATATATACACCTTCTATAAAACAATCTTCCCAGATACAATTTCACAGCTTACAGTATGACTAGGTTTTTAGAACTTTACAGACTTGCTCAAAACTGGAACAATTTAAATCCATAATAAAAGGAGAAATCAAGGACATGCTGCTCTTCCAGCATGTGGTCAGGAATGAACACACACAAATCACCAAATACATGCAGTATAATACCATGGACAGGTAAAAGAGATAAAAACATAAAATGATAAATATGACATCCTAACTTCTTTCTTCTCATGTAGCTTACATTTGAAGCATGTCACCTAAAAACACACAAAAGGAGACTGTGTCATTCTCTTGCACCACAGTACTGGAAAAGTGTCACAGTAAAAGCACCACTGAATCCACAATTAGTAAAACTTGAGAATTATCTGCTTCTGTGACTCACACGGCCTCAACTGATTTTTTAATGCAATAGCAAATGTTGTGACAGAAATGTCTTGGTGTCTGACAAGAATGTGAAGTCTAAATGCAAAAATACATATATATATATATATATATAAATACAAAAAATACATTTCAGTAATATCATCCTACAAGTGGAAACATTTTAGACACTATATGTCAAAGATTCTGTGTTTGAATAAGTCACAAGGTGGAGGGAACAATGCAGAGAAACCATGCATGTCAAGAGAGGAATTTCAAAAATGTAAACTGGGGCACATAACCGAATTCCTATTTTTAATATAGTAAGGTGTAGGTTGTTGTGGGGTTTAGGTGGAGGAGGGTTTTTTTCTTATTTGAAACTTCTTCATTTTCCTAGGATTTTAAGGTTTAAATTTATTTCAATTTTTCACCTTTAAAACCAAAAAAAGGCTGAGAAAAGTCTTCAGAGAAAAAAAAATAACCAACAACAAAAAAAATTATCCAGCAACTGAACTCAATTTTAAGAAATCCATGAAGTCCCACCAAAGACCAACAACAAAACCCAAAAACATTACACCACCTAAGAACATGCAAGGGCATTGAGGGTTTTGCTACAGAAGTGCACAAGCAATGCATTTACACACTGGTATCTCAGAACAGAAAAATCTCATTTCAGAGTCAGGGTTTATCTCAAATGCTGCAGCCATGAAGAGGCCACTGCCACTCCTGCTAACTTGGTACATTTCAGTGA